GCTGGTGTCCGACAGCCCTGAGGTGTCACCAGCGTCCGTGCTGTAGCCATGGGGCTGGCAGACACCTTGGCCATCCCGCTGCACCTCGGGGCTGCCGTTGGACCCCGAGCCCCACTGGCCCTCGTAGGAGAGCTCAGGGTAGGGCTCCCCATTGCTCTCCACCCCCCAGGGCCCCTCGTTCCCCCCGGAGCTGCCCTGCTCCTCCTCTTCCTCCTCCAGGTCCTGCCGCGGGTCCCAGCGACCCTCCTCGGGTCCTCGTAATCACCTGCAAAACACCAGCACCACAGGACTGCTGCCAGCCAGCCGGTGCTCTCCAGCCCCCTCGCAGCCCCCCCAGCTCCTGGGATCCCCGGGACAAACCCCACCCCGACTTGAGGGTCTTTGGGCATCAAGGAGGGGAGGACTCACCCCACGGTGGGCTGCTGGCATTCTCCCCCAGGCCGATGACCCCATCCTCGTCCATCTGCCTTTCAAAGTCGTTTTCCTCCTCCTCCTCCTCCTCTCCCTCCCAGTGCGTCAGCTCTGTTTGTGTCCAGTGCAGCCATGGTGCCGGGCTGGCCATGGCCCACGGGCACAGCGTCCCCGTCACTTGCGCCGCTTCATGGCCCGGCGGCGGGCTGGGGGCCCCCTTGCCACGAATGTAGGTCACATCATTGCTGCTGCATCCTGGTGGGCCAGGAAGAGGGAGGGATGCTCAGCGGGACACAGCAGGCTCGGTTTGAGGTGTCCCCCCCCCGTTGCTGGGGCTTCCCCTGTCCCCCAGACCCTGGGGACCAGGACCCTGGGGCCACCCCCGACCCTGCATCCCACCATCAGCACCACCAAGCCGGAGCTGCCGCATCCCCCACAGCCACAATGGCCCACAGAGGTCCCTGTGGAAAGGAGCCCTCCCCCAAACAACCTTAAAAGGCTTTTCACCCCCCAGGGCAGGGACCGGGGGACGCCCAGCCCATGCTGGCACCCTCCAGATGTCACCCCGTGCAGCCACAGCCTGAGCACCGTCAGCAGTGCTGTCATGGTGCAGAATGGTGCTGAGGGCGTCAGGAGCCCCTCCAGGCCCCTCCGGCTCTGGGGGCTAACAGAGAAACCGATCACAGCAGAGGCCCAGCATGCTCACTCCACTGATGCCCTAAAAGCAGGAGCTTGCCCTTGCCTCACTCCTTCGTCTGCCGAGGTTCCCAGAGCCGCAGCGGCGGCTCAAGAGATGCCAGATGCCCAAAACCCAACCGTAAGGCAGGCAGCAAGAAAGGCCACGGGGTTTTCCTGGCAACGTCCCCCTCAGCTGGATTTGAGCCCCTCGCACCCCAGTTTTGGCCAGGGGGTGCTGGAGGCGGCAGCTGCCTACGTGCTGGTGGCTGGTACCGAGCACCACGCCGGCATCACCAGCGGCCACCCCACAGCACCCCCAACCCAGTGCTGGAGCATGGAGGAGCAACCGGCCCCATGTGGGGTACACTCACCCCATACCAGCATCCCCAGGGGTAACCCCCCATCCCCACACCCCTCCCACCACCATTGGGGGCCCCCAAAGCAGCAGCATCCCTCCAATCACCCCAAAACCTTCCTGCACCTGCGGGGCAGCTGGGCTTTTGCAGAAGTAGGAAATGATGCTCGATGCTCCAGTGCTTCCTGCAAGTTTGCAGGCAGCCGCAAAGTTTTTAACCCCATCAGGCCTTGCGCGGCAGGCACCGAACCCTCCTCCTGTGCCATTTTTCATTAAAACCTTTAGTTTTTAATCCAATTTGGAGCAAAATGCTGAAGCAAAAGGGTGGCCCAGGGAGGTGGGGAATCCCATGGACCATGAGCAGCTGCAGCCTCAAAGGACCATCAGGATAAGGGCCTTCCAGAAGGACAAGCAGCCCCAAAATTCAGCCAGCTGGACCCACAGCTTTGCCCGTATCCTGGATTTCTAAGAGGGGTGTGTGTGCATCCACCTGGCCCCCACCCCAAGCTGCTACTCACAGCCCCAGGGACGCTGTGGCCATAACCAGGCACCATGGTACATCCTGGCACATTTGTAGGCAGGCAATTAATGCAGCTCATTACTGTGTAATTAGCAGCAGGTGGAGGAGAGCTTGCACCAGTTGCTCCCGGATGCTAATGAAACCACGGCACGGTCCCTGGGGTGGCTGCATTTAGCTGCAGGGTGCTGCAGTGATTTTGGGGTGCTGCTAGCTCAGGGATGGTGGTGAGGAGCAACAAACCTATGGCATCCACATGCTCTGTGAAAAGTCCTCTAACCCATTCCGAAGTCTCAGATCTGCAACTTCCCTGGCTTAAATCCTGCTGTTAGTGGGGGTTGGGGGGTTATTTTCTGGTGCCACCCAGCATCAAGATCCTCGGGCATTATGCTTGCACCAGCAGCGGCATGCTCCCAGCCCTGCCTGCATCCTTGGGGCTTTCCAGGCAGGGAGCAAACACCAAAGCAGCCCTGAGGGTCTTGCAAACCTGCTGGGGTGTTTGCACGAGGCTTTTCCCCATATGCTGGCTGGGAAACTCCATTTTCCATGCCTGGAGATGCTCCACAGCTCCTCCGGCCACTGGGGAGGACAGGGCTGCTCATGGCATGCTTCAGGCTCTGCGGCTGCTCAATGCAGCTGAAGAGCAATTTTGGCTTTAGCTTCTCTCTGAGCTGGGATGTTTCCAGCCCTGAGCCCTTGCCCACATCCTGGCCCGAAGAAGTGGCACACTGACCCGCCTGGAGCCCTGCAGCACCCCCGGGAGATGAGGAGCCCCAAACACCAGACCCAGGGAGCCCAGTGGGTGGGCAAAAGGAGCCTGTGGGTCCTGTGGTCTTGGGGCAAAGAGGGTTAAAACTTTTCCTACCTGGTTTTGGCAGGCCAGTTCCTGGATCATGACTAACCCGAACCCCATCGGCTGTCACTCCTGTTCTGAGCAGCATCCCCTCAGGCTGCACAGCCTGCAGCAGCCGCAGACTCCACGGTCTGCTTGCAAATCCAGCCACATTTATTGCTTTCCCAGAAAGTCCCTCCAGGGGCAGCCATGGTGGTTAAGAGAGAAAAATCTTGGATTTTTTTCCACTTTAAGTGAGTTGCTTGCTGTTATGGTAGCACAAAAAAGCTTGAAAAATGATGTGGCTATGTACTCAGGAACCACAAAGTAAACGCAAACAATCATGGGTGGGTGGGGGTGGGTGCGTATGTGTGTTTTTTATTTTTTAATCTTGCTCTCTGCAAGCTGGGAGTTTGCACAGGGCAATCAGACAAAGAGCTAAAAAGAAATTTAAAAGGCTCAGGTGGAAAATGTCTTTTACCCTTGAACTCTGCCCTGCCCGAGACCCTCAGCCCCTCTCCTCCTTCTGCCTCTCAGCCCGGGCTGTCCCAAATTGTGCCTTGGGGGTGGAGGTGCTCAGATGAAGGAGTGGTTGATGAGTGGATTGTCAGGACACGATTTTGTAGGCATGGTGGCATTGGGCTGATGGTTGGACTCGATGACCTTGGAGGTATTTTCCAACCTTAATGATTCTATAAGTGCTGCCAGGTCTCTGCCTGGCCAGCAGGCAGGAGGGGTTGCCTCTGCCAGTCCCTGCCCTCAGCTCCTGATCTCCGATCCCCTTTGCAGGCAGCATCACCCGTCCCTGTCCCTGCCCTTGCTCCCCGTCCTGCAAACCCCCGTGAGACAGCGAAGATGCAGGGCTGAGACCGCCCAACTCATTGCATGCATGAGGCAGAGGAACAGCAACGCAGTCGAGGCTGAGGCCTCGTCGCCGCTCCTGGGTTTATCGGTGGTGACAGCGGAAGAGACAGTGCATCCACCGCCCCAGGGCTCCCTTGGTGACATGATGGGGGGGGGACAAGGGGACAGGGCCACTGTCACTCTGCCTTCGCTGCCTCATCAACCCTGGGCAGAGCAGACATCCCCCGAGCAATGGGGAATAATCGTCACTATCCCAAGGACGCAGCAGGGGGCTTTAACCCCTCTCCCGGACGAGGGATGAATATTTTATTTTCCTAAAACACCAGCTCCAAACTCAGCTCTCAGGCACCCGCATCCCTGTGGGGATCTGCACCCCAGCACCCCAAAAGGGCAAGCAGCCAGCGCCAGCAGGTTTTTTTTTTTTTTTGGCTAAAAAACTCTGAGCCTGAATCCCCCAGAGCCCAGGGCTCTGCAGGGGGGCACTGCCCGCGCATGCACTGCATAAAATTATGCATTTTTCTGCTTTGAGCATCTAAAAAGAGAGGTTAAAAGCAAGCAGGAGCGGCACGTCAGCGCTGCCATCCAAAGCCTCTGTTTTGGGGGGGTTTGAAGGAGGCCAGAACAGCCTCAGGCTGAAACTTGGCAAGGGGCGTCTGCACTCCGGGAGGGAGGAATTCCTGGGTTAGAAACCCTTTTTTTTTAAGCCCACAGAGTCCTGTTTTATGAGCATGAAAGAGGGCAGAGAAGCGGAAACGCTGCTTTCTTAGTTTGCACTATTTCCCATAAAAACGAGGGAGAAACCATTGCAGCCTGACAAACCCTCCTCCTCCTCGGAAAGCACACACGCCTGTTACTACCACCATTGCTCCAAAGCCCACGCATCCCCCCCCCCAGTTCCTCTGCTTGGAGGGGCCACGTCCCCCCTATCTCCCCCGCGTCAGCACATCCCCATGGAGAAGCACCGAAATCCCGCTGGAGGCACCATCATCTCTCCATCACACGGAAGCAAAGCCCCATGGCGGGACAGGGAGCTGCTCCTGGGGCTGCTTTCCTGCCTCCTCCCCGGCACGGGGACCCTCCTGTCCCCAGCACAGGGCCCTGTCCTCCCTGGGGACAGCACCGTCCCCAGCGGGGGGACGCGGGAGGGCAGCTGGGAGCGTGTGGTGGGGTTAACCAGCAACGGGATGGATTTGGGTAAGCAGTGCAGCGACTGCTACGCTCTCTGGGGGAGTGGGGGAGTCCTTAAACCACCCCTGTCCGGATGGATTCAAAAGGGTGCTGCAGAGCAAGGGAAACCCAGGGCGCCCGGCTGGCGCCCGCGGCCCGGCTCTAAGGAACCAACTGCGCTCAGAGCTGCCCTTTAAATGAAAGGAGGAACAGAAGCTGCAGGCAGCCCTCGCAACTTCCTCGGAGGG